TTTGAAGTGTTTCCTGTGCAGTTTGGGTTTTGTTCATGAACTGTCTGCCCACCCCTATGTCTTCAAGATTTTGACCTACTTTCTCTTCCAGTAGATTTAGTGTTTCTGCTTTAATATTTAAATCTTTGGTCCATTTTGACTTTAGTGCATGGTCATAGACATGGGTCTAGTTTTAGTCTTCAGCATGTATGAAGCCAGTGTTTCCAGCACCATTTATTAAAGAGACTATCTGCTTCCAGCGAACATGTTTGGCCACTTTGTCAAAGATAAGGTGGCTGAGTGTGTTTGCAGTTGTGTCTGTATCTTCTAATCTGTTCCACTGGTCTTCAGGTCTATTTTTTTGCCAGTACCATGCTGATTTTATCACATTAGCTTTGCAATATAATTTCAAGTCAGGGATTGTGATACCTCCGTATTGTCTTTGTTGCCCAGGATTGCCTTTGCTATTCTAGGTCTCTTCTGGTTCCATATGAATTTTAGAAGTATGTTGTCTACTTCTGTGAGATATGCTAATGGCATTTGATAGGGATTGCATTAAATCTGTATAACAATTTTGGGAGTATGGCCATTTTCACTATGTTGGTTCTTCCTCTCCATGACCAAGTGATATCTTTCTATTTTCTGACATCCTCTTCAATCTTTTTTCAGAATACTATAATTTTCAATATATAAATCTTTTATACTTCCTTTGTTAGATTGGAGGATTAATACAAATTCATATCAAATCTTGATCCCTTTTTCTTCCTCTCCTTCCCCACTCTCCCTTTTCCCAGCTCTCCTTCTCAGCTCTACAAAGTCTCCTTGTTTCCTACCATCTATCTTTGATTTTGCTCTTTATAATATTATTCTTTAGGTTTCTCATATAAGGGAAATCATGCAATATTTAATCTTCTGTGTCTGATTTATTTCACTTAGCATCATAGACTAAAGGCACATCCATTTTCCCACAAATGACCCACCTTTGCCCTCTTTATAGCCTAGTGGTACTCTGTTGTATATAAATATCACATTTTCTTTATCCCACTCATCTGTTGGTGAGCATATAGGCCTTTTCTAAGATTTAGCTGTTATGATTTGTGCTGCTGTAAACATGGGTATGCACGTATCACTGTAATATGATGTCTTTAACTTTTTTGAAAAGATACTTAGAAGAGGTATAGGTCAAATGGAATGTCTACTTTTAGGTTTTTAAGGTTTTTTTTTTTTGTCTTTTTGAGACAGAGTTTCACTATATAGTTCAGGCTAGGCTTGAACTCACTTTGTAGCCCCAGCTGGCCTTAAACTCCCAGCAATCCTGTTGTGTCAGCCTCTAACTTGAGTGTGGATATTACAGGCATGCTCCACCATGCCCAGCCTGTTTTTAGTTTTTTGAGGAATTTTCATACTGATTTGCATAATGATTGTACTTGTTTACACTCCCACCAACAATGCAGAAGTTTCCCTCCCCCCCCCACCACATTGCCAGTACCTATTTTTTTTTTTTTTTTTTGAGTTCTTGATAATGGCAATTCTTTCTGGAGTAAGACGGAATCTCAGTTTTGTTTTGATTTGCACTTCTGTAATGACCAAAGATGTGGAATATTTTTTCATGTACCTACTGGCCATTTGTACTTCTTCTTTGGAGAAGTGTCTATTCATTTCAATTGGACCTATATTTCATGCCAGGGTGTATACATGCTCCATCTACTACCAGAGATGGGGCCTTTCTGCCAGCCAAGCAATCAGTGATCCAAAGCCCAACATCTCATCTTCATTCAAATGACCATGGACTGAGACTTCTAAACCATGCACTCAAATAAATCTTTCCTCTTTAAGTTGATTTTATTGGGAGTGTTGTCACAGCAATGGATCACAAATACAATCCTGTTGCCTTGGGCTTGTGGAAAGCATGTGACAGAGGTCACCATGAGGTGACTAGGAAGCAGAGAGATAGATGAAAGGACCAGGGTCCAATATCCCCTGGAAGGGTTTGCCCCTAACTTCCTTCCACTAAGTCCCACACCCTAAAGACTCCACCTTCCAATGGCACCATTTGGGAAAAAAGCCTTCAACATATGGCTGTTGGGGGACAATTCAGATCCAAAGTACAGCACAGATTACTAAAGGTCAGTCCACTCAGCCAGATTTATGTAGGTTTAAACTGAACCATGTCTTCAGAAAAATCAAAGCCCAAGATGTTACAGAAATATCAAAAGGAAGAAGGACCAAGAGGGAAACGGAGCAGTTGTTTAACTGGTAAACCCTTCTGCACTTTTCTATTCTAAGAAAGGGCCACAGCATAAGCAATGAACAGCTGGCATCCAACAGAGTCATCATGAAAACCTAAATGCCTAAAGTTTATAAGCTGTCCATATCCTTCCTCCTTTCCTGCCCCCGCCTCCTTTGTAGAGAGCCCTTCCCAGTCCTCATCCAGGCCTATGAAGTTTCCATTTGTGATCCCATGGAAAAGTTATTGGAATTCTAGCGAGTTAATTCTAATCTACCACCTTCAGTGCAACCCATGGAGAGAATAAAGACACTGAGGTGTATCTGTAGTTGTGAGGAGCCAAGGGGTCCTAAGTTCAGCCAGGATGATGGCTAACTGGAACAAAGTTCTCCACCCAAGGTCGAACTGGGTTTTATTCATTCATGAAGAAAGGAGTGGCTTGAGGATGAGTAACTATGAGAATGGCGGGAAGTAGGTGAGTGCCATGAGCTGGGCCAGGTAGGAGGCCTGAAATCACCCCTGCAATACCAGAGAGAAGGATCTGCAGAAAGAGTAATCTGCGTAACACAATTGAGATAGTATCTAATGTTTTGGGGTCAGTGCTTCAGCTTTGATGTGTGATCTTTGAAGCCCCAGGAAGCCACAGCCTCTTATCTCCAGGCTCATCCCAGCCAACAGTGTGGAGCACTGGCTCTTCATCCCTCCTCATCCTGACTCACACAAGGGAACAACAGGGGGTTCCAGGGAAACATGCCTGCCCTCTTCAGAGATTACCATCAGCACCTCAGCTGGACTGATATGCACTGCTTAAAGCCAATTGAAGGGATAAGGAAAGGGTCCTGGCCAGCTGTGCACACATCAATATATGGAAACAGGGTCAGGTTCAGCCAAAATGGAGACAACTGCTCCTCCTTCAAGGAGAGTCGCCCAGGTGATCTTCCACACTCCCTCCCTTCCTCTCTCCCTTCCTTCTTTTCTTTTTACCTCTTCATAGCAGCCAGATTCCACTTCTCTGTCCCTATCATGGCTTCTGAGCAGACTGTCTGTCAATCAAGGGGGTGCCGCTTTGGGGAGACCTGCTCTCTACCTAGGGTTCTGATGAAGGCCATGTTGCCCCCTAGTGGATATTTCTGGTAAAAATTTAAGAAATTTGGGGCTGGGAGTGTGGCTCAGTGATAAAGCATGTGCTTAGCAAGTGTGAGGCCCTAGCTTTAAATCCAGTATCCAAAAGAAAACACGTTGTACTAGTTTCAATGGTAGGTTTTCTTTTAAAGAATGGAATAGTTACCCGGTGTCAGGACTTAGAAAAAAAGGTGGTTTTTTTTTTGTTTGTTTGTTTGTTTGTTTGTTTGTTTGTTTTTTATCACAGTGCAACATTCTGTCAGGAAGGAGATTAGCAAGGGGCAGGAAGGGCAGGAGAAGCTGATTCAGAGTCTTTTCTCCCAGGAATCTGGTGTAGGTTCGACTCACTCATAGCTGAGGTGGGTGCTTTAAGTAGGACATCAGGGATGGGTGAGAAACAGAGAAACAAATAAGAAAGTGGAGTGAATGGCACGACAGGTGCTTCATGTGCCCCTCAGTTCTTCCAAGAACTCGCTGTCCAGCCACAAGGAGGCAGTCAGTGGTCAGCCTCCAGCTGCCTACCTTCAGCATCCCAGTTTTCAAAGCAAAGTCACCTGGTAGAGAGCACTATGAAGCAGCCCCAAGCAGGATTTAAATTAACCAATTGGCTTTTTATGTTTACTTGTGAATCTGTGCAAAGTCTAGGCTGCTTGTCTGGAAGTGGGCAACAGACTCATAGTAAGTGAACCTCTGTGAGCCATTGATCCCTACTAAACCTGTAATGGTGGATGAAACCTGAAAGTCTCAAAGGATAAGACAAGATCACAGCCACGGACACCTGGATCTGATCGCAACTAGATAAAGACTATAGCCTCAGGTATCTCACTCCTTGGTAGATTAACTTACTCTTTATGTGTTAGTTTGGGGGATACTTTTGCAAGGGAAAACAACATAATACAGGACACATATTTTACAAGATTATTTATAATAGTCACCCAAAGAACGATATACAAGACAGTGCAGGAAATCTGTCCACACACTACGACCAAGGAAACTAGCTGAGGGCCTGGATTCCACAGAAATGTCCTGCATGAGTCCAGCTGAATACCTAAAGCTCTCAACAATGCCTCCCACGAATCCAACTGGAGGCCCACAGCCCATAACAGTATCTCATGCAGGCCTGTTTCACGGATCTGCACTGGGAAGGCCCAAAGGTCAGTGGTGCAATCTAGGAAGTCTATGCCAGTGGGATGAAGGAACTGTGCTAGCAGCTGTGCTAGGCTGAGGAAACTGCACTGGAGCCCGGAAGCGACGCTCAGAAGAACCAAAGCTCCCCCAAAATGTACCACAGCCATCCTCAGCAACGGTGAGGTCCCGAGTTCCTCCCATGGTGAAGACAGCTGAGTTTCCATCAGGAAAGCCAGCACAGCAACCTTCTCCAGCAGACTGGCAGTGTAGTGATAAGTCATAAGGCAGCCCGCACCCCCTCCCCCTGCAGGGGACTTAAACTCTCAATAATGAAAACTCCTTCCTCTTCACCTGTTCCCCTTCAGTTCCCCTTGACAAAAGCCAACCTCACCCTCATCCGCCTTGGCAGGACCAGACGTTCAACTCTGATGAACAACTACCCCCGCTTGGGCTGTTCTGACCCACAGACACCCTCCCTTGAAAATGTTCTGGCCCATGGACACCCTCCCCAGAAAATAGCTTAAAATCCCCATGCTTTGCTCACCTTGGGGCTGTCCTAGTCCGCTGGGCAGTCAGCCGTGTCGCTCTCCCGCCCAATAAAGATTCCTCTCGTGACAGAAGGTCTGGTTTGATTCTGTGTGGGTCTTGGCCCAATCATGTACCATCTTCCCCTCTGGAGCCAGGAAATGATGCTCAAAGTGAGGACCAGAGCTCCCCCAAAGTGAACCAAAGTTATACTTAGTGCCAACAAGGTCCCAAGCTCCTCAGAGGATGAAAACAGCCAAGTTCATCAGGAAAGCCAGCACGACAAGCGCCTCCAAAAAACCCAACAACTCCTTACAGCTTCTACCAGCTCCCAACAGCCTTTTCTCAGCTCCCAACAGCCTCTTATGCTGCCGGCAACAATCCTCAGGTGGGCCTCCCACACCCAGCACCATACTTACTCAGTTCAGCTGGGGGTTATAAATTGACCCCCAGTTATCAATTCACTACACTTTATTAAGGATTAATTTAATACTTTACTTGGAGAAGTCCTTGAGTGATTCTGCCCTTCTTGAGTACTCCCCTCCCTTCTTCTGAAAACCAAATAAATATGGGCCACCCAGAGAAGGTCTTGGTCTTAAGCCTTGAGAAAATCTCGAACTCTGTGAGAGGGCTTTGATCTTCTTGGAGCCCTGAAATCATTCCATTCACCTCTTCTTATTTAGCCTTTGCCATACATTTGTTTGGGAGATTGTGGACCTGATCAGCTCACAATAACTAAGGGATATTATTAACCCAAAGTCACCACTTTCCAGGAGCATCCCTCTTGTAAAGGAGCAATGGAGTGTCACAGTGTGTTATGGTTTATATCTGGATGTCTCCCCAAACCTCATGCACTCATAGGTGGGTGGTAATTGAATCATGGAGGTCTGATAATCATCAGTGGATTAGTCCCTTTGAGGCTTTCATGGTTCATCCACCATTGCAGGTTTTAGTAGGGATCAGTGACTCACAGAGGTTCACTTACTATGAGTCTGTTGCCTACCTCCAGACAAGCGGCCTAAGCTTTGGACAGATTCACAAGTAAACATAAAAAGCCAATCAGTTAATTTAAATCCTGCTCAGGGCTGCTTCATTGTGGTCTCCATCAGGTAGGGGTTGGGGCCTGGTTGGAAATGGGTCCCTGGGTGTCACCTGGAAGGGTGCACTCCTGTCCCTGGCTCTTCCCTTGTCTATCTGCTTCCTGGCTGCCATGGGGTGAAGCAGTTGTCCTCTGCCAGGCTCTTCCACCATGCCATTTCTGCCTTGGAGCCAGATGACTCTGGATCAAACCCACTGGAAATTGTGAGCCAGATAAATCATTGTGGGTGTTGGATATTTTGATCCAGTGACAGATAAATGACTAATACAAGCACTCTCCACTGGCAGGATTCAGGGGCTGCCAAAGAATTTAGCCGTAGAGATAAACTTTCAAATGATGCAATATTTGAAGGAAAAAAAAAAAGCAAAGATCTCTGATAAGCAAGTTTTAATGGGTTTTAACCCATCTTGCCTCCCTCACTTCCCTCTCCTCATGGCAAGCAGGAGCCAGCCTTCAAAGAGCTGCTCCAGCTGCATCTGTAAGTCGCCTGACTGAACAGTCCCTCTATTGGATCACATCACTGTGCTGTATGTCCACAGCACAGAACACAAAGTAGCTTCAGTTGTGTGTTCCAAAGCAGAGGCCAGGGCATCACAGGTAAATCGTGAACATCTATCTACACAGGAGCTTAAAAGTGGTGCCACTCATTCTGTCTGAGTGTAGGGCACCCCTTGCAGGAGATCCAGGACTCTTGAGTTCTGACAGGTACTGGCTTCAGCACAGTGGAGCGGTTGCGTGGCGGCTGCCGGATCTCTTCAAAGGCAGAAGAGGAGGAAGGCTGAGGGTGACTAACCTGGACCTGGGGCCCACACACCACCGCCAGCTGTCCTGCTCCTGTCCCCACCAGGTCCAGTTCACCATGGGTCAAACAACACAGCAGGGAGGCGACAAGTCTTGGAAGTGGTGGAACCGGTAATTACACTGCAGGATGGGTAGACTTCATCCCTAAGGACAGAGATAGGGACCTCTGATCCCTGCTTTGCCAGCAGCCTGGAAATGGCCACCTTGGATTCCCAGTTCCTCCCCAATACCTGCTTTTTTTGACACCTGAGCACAAACACAGAAATCTGCCCTGACTCCTCTGCTCTTTGACTTGTCAGATGCAGCCGTAGAGCCCTCTGCAGCGCTGACCTTAGTCAGCAGAGCCCTCTCCACCCCACAAGCTGCTCTGTGAGCAACAGTGGCTGCTAGGGTCCTCTCTCCTTTCTGGGAGGAGGGCCCGTTCTCCATCTTTTCTTCCTCTCAAAGGCACCAGGCTCTGTGGGGGTTGCATTTACTAAGACTAATGTTCCCTATTCTTTAAACATACAAGGGTAGTGCTTCATGTATGACGTTTTCTTAATAGGTTATTTACTAAGAGGAATAAAAAAAGAGACTTTGAGGGACAATAAGTCCTTTAAAATTGTGCCAGGGAAAAGCATTCACTCAAATATACAGGCCAAAAAAAAAAAATTATCAAAATGTTATCGGCAATATAATCTCATTTTAAAAGCAAATTTGGGCTGGGGGTGGTGGTGCACACCTGTGATCCCGGCACTTGGGAGACAGAAGCAGAAGGATCGCTGAGAGTTCAGGCCAGCCTGGGCTACACAGTGAGTTCAAGGCCAGCCTCTACTACATATCGAGATCTTGTCACAAACAGCCAAAAGGAATTTGGAGTGAACAGAAGGGGGAATGCTGATTTTTTTTCTTCCTTTTTTTTTCTCCCCCTCCTGGTACCAGGAATCGAACTCACAACATTGAGCTTGCCAGGCAGGCACTGTGCCACTGAATTAAATCCCGGGCCCCTGATTTTTTTTCTTGATCTGGATACACCTTGATACACTATTCTCAGCTTACCTGTCTGTGTGCGATCCATCCATTGAAAATTTAAAACTCTTGGTATGCGTGGCAGGTAAAAATCTGGAGAAATACAACTCATCGGAATATTAGCAGTGATTACTTCTGGTCTGGGAGATTTTTCCTCAATTCTAACCTTTCGTATATAACCTGGCTTTCTTCAAAAAATATATATATAGTTAAAAAAATCCTTGCCTCTTTGCAGCTGGGTCATCGAGCCGTGCGCGGGCCGCGGCTGCTGCCTCGCGCCTCGCTCTCCCTTCGCCGAGGGCGGCAGAGCGGCAAGGGCCCGGCCGCCGCGCCCGCTCCCTCGGCGCCCCGGGCTTCGAGCCAACACTGCCGTCGCCCTTC